TATATATATATATATATATACCCGCTTCTTCCATTTTGGGTCACGGGGGTCACTAGTGCCCACATCCAGCAATCACAGTGCGAGGGACACCCTGGACAGTTCTACAGTCCGTCTCAGGGACACAGAAACAACCAACCACTCACTCTTTCACTCACACCGGGACAATTTAATTAACCCAACATGCATGTTTTTGGTCTGTGGGAGTAAACTGGAATACTGGGAGAAAACCCACACATGCACAGAGAGAACATGCAAACTCCACCCAGAAGGGTCTCAGGCCGGGATTTTAACCGGCGACCTTCTCACCAAGAGGCAACAATTCTTCCATCGTGCCACGCAACTGTTTTATTTTCAATCATAGAACTTTGTTGTATTGTCTAAAACAATCTTTGTTTAATGTAGCTCATCAATCATTTTGTACAAATTACGATGGATTAATCTTTAACTTTATTGATGATGGGACTGGAAGTGTCTGTGCTTCAGTCACGCTCATGAGGTTGTTGTGGCTCCCGTTCTCCACCAGGTGCCTCCATCATTAAGCTTTTTCAGCACAATTGTAAGAAAAGCTTCAGTGATTCATGAAGCTTCAAATGCCCCCTCTACTGATCAGTTACTGTAAAGTGGCATATGTGGAGAAAATGAGGTAGAATTTCACCTGATTCGTGCTTTTACTACAATCAGAGCCACGTGAAGTCATGTATTCAAGAGAAAACCAAAAAATATATAAAACGTCACCAAATACCTGATAAGAGATGAATCGTCCTTTAGTTGATTTAGTATGACAAGTTTTCAGCTAACAGCTTTTTAGGAAACACCTTGCTGGTGATAAAATACTATTTCATGAGTCAAACTGAATTACCTTTTGTGTTCTTTATGGATTCAAATAAACAGAATAGGAACAAACTGTCTTTGTGACAGGCTGCTGGAAAGAGGTTTCTAAAGATCCAATTTAAAACTAAATCTTGTCTGAACTGTCCGCTGTGTGCCGACACAAAACTGATCCATCTCTTGAGTTTAGGAGTGTTTGTAGGCCAGAATGATTAATATGTCAGAGTTCATTATTTTCTTGAAAAACCTTAAAATATATATAATTATTGATCATGACCACTTTAAGAAATTACTAAAAAGTCTGGCTGCTCAAAAGTAGCTAGATATCATCAGGGATCACTCGAGACTTTTAACTATACTGTGTATATTTTCTAATACGTAGACAAATTTTATGTGTTTCAAATACTTTGAGGCAACTTGATTGGAATACAAACCCAGCCACATCACAGAACATGGTGGTAATAATTAGACATGAAAAGCATCATACTTTAGGCCATCAAAATACAAAAACTATTATTCTTCTAACTTCAATCATTCATATAAATATATTCATATTTAAAATAAGGCGGCACGGTGGTGCTGTTAGTAGAGCTGCCGCCTCTCAGTGAGGTCGTCACCGGAACAAATCCCGGCCAGGGGACCCTTCTGGGTGGAGTTTGCATGTTCTCTCCGTGCATGCGTGGGTTTTCTCTGAATACTCCAGTTTCCTCCCACAGACCAAAAACATGCATGTTAGACTGACTGGTAACTCTAAATTGTCCCCAGGTGTGAGTGAGAGAATGAATGGTTGTTTGTCTCTATGTGTCCCTTGATGGACTGGAGACCTGTCCAGGGTGTCCCCCATCTCTCAAACAGTGACAGCTGGATGGGTATCAGTGACTCCTGCGACCCAAAAAGGAAGAAATGAATAAAGATAATGGATGGATGATAATTTATAACAACATAATATCCAATTGTGTGATAGTTTAATATAATGAGGAGAACTTGTGTTTGCAATATTTGACCCTAAATAAATCAGTCTTTTTCAAAATTTTCTTTTTAAGTATCAAAAGATCATTGAGTTGCTACTCATGGAAACATCACAGTTCTCCTGAACTCATCAGTTCTGGGCTGATTAAGTGTTTGGTCACTTTGTGAGTTCAAGATCCAGAATAAAATCTTCTGGCAACGTCTCAATTGGGATTTTCTGCAGCTGTTCATCGTAGGCACGAAGAGTCCAGAGTTTTTCCAGTTCATACAGTTCTCTGGTCTCTGGCAGCATGAAGTGAACAACAACATTACCTGAGAAGAGAAACAGAAAACATGCACATATAAGCTCAAACCACATAAATCTGCAGAAAGGATTTTATAGACCGACATACCAAAGTCAATGCACATCCAGTCTTCTGAATCCTTTCCTTCAATCTTCACATTTGCATCTTTTTCTTTCTTCAGAAATTTGTACTGGAGGAGAACCACTTTTAGCATGAGCTTTAAAAAACAAACGGGCTGCATTGAACACATCTTAGAAAGAACAAATCGAGGTTAGTTACCACTTTGAGTGCGTAAAAAGCCATGGCATGGATGTGTCTTGGAGATAAACCACTAACAACAATGAAGTAATCTGCATAGTTGATATGGTCCGGGACTTTAATCACACAGAGGTCCACAGCGTTCTCCTGACGCAGCAGAGACACCAGGACATCCAGTGTGAAAGACTCTGAGGAGCCTGGAGGGGGAAAAAAAAGACACTTTCAGTCATGTGGGTCATCCAGTCAATGAATAGAATATAATAAAAGTAAATCTGGGTAACAGGAGAACCTCAACCAGGGAAATAAATTACATCACTGCACTGACAGAACTTCTACTTGATGAATTACTGTAATGTTTCTTCATTATTCATCATTTTAGTTTAGTAAATAATAAGCACTCATAATGTCCAGAAATATCTGATTACAAATCAAATCAACAAACTAATGGGCCATTTTCAGCTCTTTAGAAGCTGGAAATGTGTTTATTTTAGTAACTTTGAGTTTAAATAGAAACATAGGAATGTAAAAAAAAAAAGTGTGGCAAATTTGACCATTTAGTGACATTAAATTAAAACAAACAAAAAAACTATGAGGAGCAGAGGATTAAAAAAAAGTCATATCTTCTAAGCTTAAAGTGATATTTCCAAACAAGTTGACTGGAAATGTAAAATTAGATTATGAACAAAATGCAACAAATAAAACAAATCTATGTTTTATTTCAGTTTGTCTTCTTTCTGTTTTTCCCCATTTTGAGGTGACCAGAGACTCATCTTTCATCTGTCCTCCATCCAACTGCCTCCATGTCCTCAACTCCTTCCTACACGTCTCCAAAGACACGCCAAATGAGTAGCATGTCTTTTTCCAACAACAGGCATGAAGGAACTATACTTTTATCTGTAAAATGCTTTTGCCACTCTAGTAATTATAATGTAGTGATATTGTGCTACCTGTTAAAAGGTTTACTTGATAAAATGTGCAAGATTTCCCCTGAAAACATCTTTCTCTGCATATGCTGCTTTGGATTTTGACCTTTAGGTTTATCGTTTGTATAACTTTACAAACAGAGGTTTCATCCCAGAATCACATCATCCTGCGTACAGTGAAGGCAGAGGACTGTGGTCATGCAGCACCAGCCGACATATTCAGAATGAGCACTTACCGAGATTTTCCATTATATTCGGTCTCTCCTCAGTAGTCCCCGTGTTATCTGACTGACTACTTTCACTGCTGTCAGAGAAACTTCTGTTGGCTTCAGAGAAACACCGGAGTGAAGCTGCGTAACGCCATTGTTGTTGGCACGTAGTTAAATAGCTACAGCCCCGGGCTTTATTTAACGAAGTGACACGTCTTAAAACACCTGTTCCTTCTAATAAACTGTAATGTCTACAAACTGATAATAGTAACCGAGAGCGAGAAAGAATATTCATGATTTAAACACGCAGAATAAGTCCCCGCTATCGGCTAACTGTACACGAGACTCTGAAGGTCTCAAAACAGGAAGCGATTCTCATTCGCGGGTTGTGATTGGCTAGTTCCTTCTTCTTCTTCGGTTTTATTTGGCGGTCCAAACTCTACGCTGTCCTCACAAAATGCTCCATTTTATGATCACTTCAAATTAGTGCTGGGACGTGATTATAAAAAAAAAAATCGAGTTAATTAGACTTGTAATTAATCTCGATTAATCGCATTTTAATCACGTTTATCAAATAATTTTCAACACTAAATTTGCAAATCTAATAAATTATGAGTTATGGCTGAATAAAAGAATAAACAACCCTGAACTTAATAAAAATATATATTATCTTATGTATTTATTTTGTAAATGCATTCACAGGTTAGTGTAAATTCAGGGCGCTAATTCATTCATTCATTCATTCAACCTTTGTTTAGACAGGTTAATCCCATTGAGCCTCGAGGACTCATGTACAAGAGACCTGATTTCAACAAAGAAGATGACAACAATGGACAACAATAAACAGTTATAAAAAGGCATACAGATTTTTTTCTTTTTACACATAAGATGGCTAAAAAAAAGTAACAAAAACAGCTGGATTATAAGGTGACTGTAGAAAACTAAAAACAGGAACATGTCTGCATTGGTCCCTGCAGGAGTCCAACAGATTCTTAAAGCCACTTAGAGGTCAAGGTCGAGAGCTTCATGCTAATGAAACGTCGAGTCAAATGTAAAACTCAGATTTAATATTTAATAATAAAAGTAGGAAAGATTATGGGTCATACTTCTCTCACCCTCCAGGAGCACTTTGACCAGGCAGTCATTTCACAGACAAACAACATTTTACCTCACAGCCGATGTGGCTGAGTGGTTAGAGCAGTCTTCCTCCAATGCAAGAGTTGGGGGTTCGAATCTACCAGCAGTCACATGCCAAAGTGTCCCTGGGCAAGACACTGAACCCCTCATTGCCTCTGATGTGTGTCCCATCGGTGTATGAATGTGATAAAAAGCTCGATTAGTCTTTAGAATGATTTGTTCAATTAGCTTTGTATAGATCTAGTAGAGTGCTGTATGAATGGGTAAGTGAGGAGGACACAGATTGTAGTGTAAAGAGCTTTGAGTATCTCGATAAGACAGAAAGGTGCTATATAAGTACAGTCCATTTATCCTGCTGAACTCAGGCCGGAGGAACAGAGTTCATCTGGAATAGAAACGTTCACCTGCTGTCCTAAGTGTTAAAGTCATCAATGAACAAATCAAATCTTCATACAGTATTCAGTAGTTTATGCATGGTTAATTTTGCAGCCTTTATATGATTAGCCTTTTATTTTTAAACCTTTTACTGAAGCATACCTTGTAAAATGACCCCTTTTTGATTCAATCACTTCTGAAATCAACATGTCAAAAAAGTAACAATATAATTTATTTAGATTTTGTAAATCTCACTGAATTAGCAGAACATGCAGTATAAAGGTACTGCATCCTGGCAGCATTCTATAGAGAAACTTTCATTTACCTCTGAACATGACAGTAAAATGTTCAAGTAATCAAAAGCTGAAGATCCAAACAAGGTACTTGCTTAATGCTTAAAGTGATTTTACACTTATTGTTCAAGTAATGATCAAACATATTCAGACCACATGGATGTTTTATCTTAAAACAGTTGACATTATTTAGACCCTACAAACATCTTTGATAGTTTATTCATCCATCACCTTCCACTTTGCTTTGGAGGCATCTATAATGATGGGTAATCATGCATGGCTCAATAAACACAAACTACGCAAATAAAATGCATTATTTAAATTTAATTCTGTAGAAAAAAATTCTGAGTAAGAAAATTGTGAAATATAGGGAATAATACCCAAACCTAAAATACAGGTAACCATACCTGAACATCCCTAAAAGTAAAAAAAACTGATGTAAACCTCCCAATAAATGTAATAAAAAAAACTCCACCTTACAGATACAGTGATGCTTGAAAGTTTCTGAACTCTATAATTTTCTATATTTTTGCATAAATTGACCTAAAACATCATCAGATTTTCACACAAGTTCTAAAAGTAGATAAAGAGAACCCAGTTAAACAAATGAGACAAAAACGCGACACTTGGTCATTTACTCAATGAGGTAATTGATCCAATATTACATATTTGTGAGTGGCAAAAGTATGTGAACCTTTGCCTTCAGTATCTGGTGTGACCACCCTGTGCAGCAATAACTAAATGTTTCCAGTAACTTGATCAGTCCTGCACACCGGCTTGGAGGAATTTTAGCCCATTCCTTCATACAGAACAGCTTCAACTCTGAGATGTTGGTGGTTTCCTCACATTAACTGCCGATTCAGGTCCTTCCACAACATCTGGACTGGATTAAGGTCAGGACTTGGCTATTCCAAAACATGAACTTTATTCTTTTTGAACAATTCTTTGGTAGAACCACTTGTGTTCCTAGAGTCATTGTCTTGCTGCATGACCCACCTTCTGTTGAGATTCACTTCATGGACAGATGTTCTGACATTTTCTTTTAGAATTCTCTGATATAATTCAAAATTCATTGTTCCATCAGTGATGGCAAGCTGTCCTGACCCAGATGCAGCAAAACAGGCCCAAACCATGATACTACCTCACCATGTTTCACAGATGGGATAAGGTTCTCATGTAGGAATGCAGCTTTCCTTTCTCCCAACATAACACTTTTCATTTTAAAAACAAGTTTTATTTTGTTCTCATCCGTCCACAAAACGTTCTTCCAACAGTCTTCTGGCTTGTCCTCGTGATCTTCAGCAAACTGCACACGAGCAGCCATGTTCTTTTAGGAGAGCAGTGGCTTCCTCCTTCGACCCTGCCATGCACACCATTGTTGTTCAGTGTTCTCCTGATGGTGGACTCATGAACATCAACATCAGTCAATGTGAGAGAGGCCTTCAGTTATTAGAAGTTACTCTGGAGTCCTTTGTGACCTTGTCGACTGTTACAAGCAAGCTGTTGGAGTGATCTTTGTTGGCCCACCACTCCTGGGGAGAGTAACAATGGTCTTGAACGTCCTCCATTTGTACACAGTCTGTCTGACTGTGGATTGGTGGAGTCCAAACTTTTTACAGATGGTTTTGTAACCTTTTCCTGCCTGATGAGCATCAACAACTCTTTTTCTTTTATTTTGTCTCGTTTGTTAAACTGGGTTCTCTTTATCACCTTTTAGGACTTGTGTGAACATCTCATGATGTTTTAAGTCATTTTTATGCAGAAATACGGAAAATTCTAAAGAGTTCACAAACTTTCAAGCACCGCTGTCAACCCACTTGTCAGGACATTGCAACAGAAATGACAAACTCCAGTGTTCTATCAAAGCCTTGCTCTGCCTGTGTCGAGTACAACTGTACATTGGGTTCTTCTGGTTACTGTCATACGTCGTTACAGCTGGAGTCCATGGTGACTTTCAGTCTCAAACCTACAGGAATGTGGTCCGTGAGGCCGGCCAGCTGCGTTATGTAGGTCACCGCTTCAATGTCCTAAATGGCAACAAGGATGCCAGAAATCTTGTTAGCAGTTGTGCAACTATTCATACGTGCTTATTCTCAGCACATCACACATTTTCTAAGTCACGTTTAAGCTCAAGCAGAAGTAGCTGAGAACTGGAACAGGTGAAGGTAAAAAGGAGGCGTCACACTAACTGTTCTGTACAGCTTTGACACGGAGCTTTCCCGGTAGAGGATGTAGTCGAGCCGTCGCCCGATCCACGGCTGGCCGGTCTCTGGGTAAACCAACGGGAAGCCTTCAGCAGCAACAGGAGGGGAGATGTACTGCTTCCTCAGCTCCTCTGTTTCCAACGTTCTACACGTAAACAAAGAAGACAGAGTGAATCCATATGGAGATGAGAGAGTGTGAAAGTGCAGCTTTCAACATGTTAATGTTACAACGAACGCAACCTTTTGAGGTTTTCTGCAGTGTTCACTTCATCCTCGTACATCGTGGGCTGCTCCAACAGAGTCCCTTCAAGAGAAAACCACACTATGAGTTGCTACTTTACCACATGCTGTAAATATGAGGACATTTTATTTCTAGTTCATTTATTTAGTTGGTACTGCACTGACCAATAACCCAGGGCTTCTCTTTTCCAGGTCCTGCCCTGCAAGGGTCTCTGTACTCCTCAAACAAACCGTGATTTTGTTCCAGAGTGTCATCTAATTTAGAAAAAAGTATTTAAAATGTCTTAGAACAGGTTTTTGACATGGCTCTGAATGGCAATTAAAAGGATCAAAATAATACAAACGTAAACAAAAACTTTTTTTTTTTGTTTTTCTGCAAGAGACACACCAGGTGAGCAGTTGTCGAAGTTGAAATCTCCACAGAGCACATCAAAAACCACCTCCTCCTCCGGCTGTTTGTTGGCAGCCTGAAAATCAGCAATCCAACTGGCAACCATGTCCAACTGCTCACAGCGAATTCTCCCGTCCCCTGATGAGAACACAGAAGGTATCATAAACCAAACTCGTTTTCATTTTGTCACAATGAAATGCAAAATCAAAAATGTCAACTGAGAAAACCAAATTAAAAATGGAAACTTGCCCTCTGGTGCATGAAGGTGTGTGCAGTTAAAATAGCCGACAACTTTCTTCCTGCTCTGATTCTGTCCGATTAACACCTGGGAATTTCAACAACATTTTCACCGTGTCCAACTTACATGTAAGAACCAGGAACTGAACTTATTTTATGGTTGCTGCAAGACAAAGATGACAACTATGGTAGTGGTTGTTGCATTAAACATGGCATTAGCTACTCTGGAAAGCTAAACTCAGTGTTTTGTTTTTTTACTATTTTACTTTATGTACACGTCAGTGATGCTTCTGACCAACTACAATAATAAACAGTGGTTTATCTGCACAAAGTTCTTTGTTTCCAATATATGCATGCCCCAAATGAACTTTGCATAACGAGCTGTTTGCATTATCTCAGATGCTATCTTAGCTCAGGTGAACATTCTTGTTTTAGCAAAGACGTGAAAAAACAAACAAAAAAAACTGTTTTAAACTCTAAACAGTGAAGATTTGAAATGACTGGATCAGATTTTTGACTGAGCTCGGCACCTTAGCAGAGAGGAGGCCCTTGGCAGCGAGAGCATCTTCTCCGCTGCTGTTGGGAAACCAGTGGTACTGAGCCTGCAGCACAGGAAACCTGCTGGCAAAGAACATGCCGCTGTTGAAGAACTTAAAAGACGAACACCGGCAGGGCGGCTGGCAGGCGTACACACCAACGTCGTACAGAATGTGTCCAAACACTGGCTTTAGTATGTTGGTGAGCTTCTGGGCTGCCCTCTTATCAAACACCTCCTCGAGGCACAAGATGTCAAGATTGGCTGGAAAAGATGTCAGCACCTCCCAAGGTTCCTCGCTCTGCTCCTGAGAGGGCAACCCAGTGGGGGCGCTTTGGTAATTTGACTGGCTCGTCACGATGAGTTGGCCGACGGTAGACGCCCTGCGCAGTGTGTGGCCAAGGTTGTTAAAGCGAGCCAGGCTGTCTGGCAGAAGACACAAGTTACCAGAGGCAAAGGTAAGCGAGGCCTGTCCTGCTATCTCAAAGCCCCTGTGCGTCTCCATCTCTAGTGACGTTGGCGCCTCTTTGTGGTAGGTAAAAGGCCTGCGGCAGGCCTGAAGGGGCGCCCAGAGCAGCAAGCCCAGGAAAGCCAGGGGGGCTGTGAGGACAAAAAAAATGAAGAAGACAATAGAGCCGAAGAAGACCTTGAGAGGATGGAGGTAGCATTCTTGCTCCTTTCGCTCAGCTTGTTCCTTTGTGGTGGATTTGCACACAGCAATGAGGCGGTCGAGATACCAGAAACAAGGAAAGATTAATACCCATCCCACGGAATGGACACCTTCAACAAACTTATTAGGAAAGGGCGATTCTCGTAGACTCATGTCTCTCCACTGTTCCCAAACAACAAACAGGATAAAAACAATCCGGACGTCCAGTTTTGGCCTCATTCATTCATTCTTGTCTCCTTCCAGAGCTCCACTGGAAACTAAAGCAAGAGAGAAATGCAGACGGTTACTACAAGCCTGTTCCTGCAACCTAACATGAAAGAAAACATCTGACAGCACGTCTCTGCCGCACGGGTCTTCCTATTCTCATTTCTTTTCTTCCCAGATAAACATGTTTTGCCTTTTTGCCCTGACACAATCAATGTTCAACATTTACTGCATGGGTCATCAGGAGTGACTGGCTTTTTGACTTCATGCCTGTGCATGTTGTAGGAAGGAGACGCAAGAGACAGCATGCAGTTTTTACATCACCATGACTCATGGCTTAAACATGTAATACAGCCCTTATAATCCTAAATCACACCTTTTACACATTATAGACACTGCTATGATCGTTTGGTGAGGCAGAAGTTTACCACATATATCTCTAAACTTGCTCTTTGGCAATTTGATTTAAAATGTAAAGTATATATCAGACATAACAAATTCACAAAGTAAAATACACATATTTATTTTTAAGTTTTAATGTCTTCATTCAAATTATAGCAGGTTTACTGTTTTTTATTGGTTTCATTGTGTACCTCAGAAAGCACAATATTTCTGCAGTTCTCTCCTTTATTTACAGTTAAAGTAGGACTTTGTAGTTTTCAGTCCCACAGCAGACTTCCTGCTTTAATCTATGCTGCTCAACACAACAGCAGTAAACCTGAACACACCAGGTGTTTGTTCAGTAGAAACAGTTTACATAAGTTTAACTATTCTGTGGCGAGAAACTCCCACTAAATATGACTGTATGGATATAACATCGTGCCTCTGAATTCCAACCCTTGATAATAAATGATTTATAATGCATAAGCATATTTCTGTTACAGCAGTCACCTGTCGGCTAGCTTGTGAAACTCTTACCTTAACTTAGCGCGAGCACTGTCCGTTGATCAGTCAAAAACAAAGAAACCTGTTTGCGTTTTTATTAAAGTACGTATCAAGTTGTCATGAACTCATTTTAAGCCAAAAAGCTTCAGAGTGTAAAACAGACAACCAGACGAACAATAAGTAAATCCATTTTGAATCAAACCCCGGATGCTATCATGCTAATCGTGGCATTAGGCCACGCCCCGCTGCGGTTGCCATGGTGAAGGGCTTGGCATGTCGGTTTTTTTTGTTGTTGTTGTTGTTCGTTTGTTTTCTTCCGCTTTGCATGACACGTGACCTCGTCCTACGCGACCGATCAAAAAATAAAACAAAAAATAAAAAGAAGCTAACTTCTCATTTATGTTGCGTATTTTTTATACAATGTACTCTGGTTTTGGCAAGATTTCTTAATGTTTGACCAGTGTTTAAAATAATTTTTAACTAATAACAGAAACACCTATGACTGTAAAGTTTTTTTGTTGTTTTTGTTTTACAAATGACGCTACAGTAACATTTAGCTGCTAATAAAGCTAACAATACAAAAGGTTATTTTTTGTTTATATTTTTTTAAAAACATTAAACAAAATGGCAATTTTTCCTCTTCCAGGTGAACTTGGCCTTTTGCAGGTTTGGTGTTGACAAAGGAATTTCTAAAATTAGTTTTTCTTATTCTGAACTAACAACTATTTAGATTTTTATATGAAAATCCCTTTTTGAGTTCATTGTTTCAAAAGTTGTTAAGTATGATTTATTTTTTATTTTATAGGATAAAAATAAGACTGCCACAATGGATTAAACTGGAAAATCAAGTCATATTTAAATGACTTTAACAAGTCTCACTTTGTTTATGTTTGAAACAGCACAGGAAACCCTGAATGTTTCATGTACTTGTTGTTTAAATGCTTAGTTCTGCTATGGAAAATAGCAGAGATGTGTAAAACAAGAGGCTTGCAGTATATTCAGTGCATTTTGTGGTTTATTTTAGCTGATCCTCATATAATGGATGGTTCTGTCCTGGTCTGCTGTGCTTTGAATGCAGTGATGACTACCAGAAGAGGAGAGACCTCCTGTCCTGCGCTGCCATGTAACAGAGACAATCGAGTACCAGAAACAGGTCCTTCTGAAGCTTCTTTGGAGCAGTGGTCCCGATCATCATCCTTAGAAAATCCGGATTATTGTATTCGGTCTCATCGGCTCCATTACTTGGCCTCAGGATACCGTAGGAGTTGACGATGAACTCACAGAAAGGAGCGTGCAGAGCTGCTTTGTACCCACGCTGGCCCAGCATGTCCATAAGTTCTGTATACCTCTGACTGAGAAGAAGCTGGTAGCCCTCATCCACCTTCCCTGTCACCGGGTGAGTACTCACCTGCAACACAGGAAGAAAGAGTTTTCACTTCCTTCTAGGTTAGTACAAATACAACCCAAATCTTCTTGTATCTAAAATAAACCTGGGTACCATTTTTACCATCCATTAAGGCAAGTTTCTACTAAATGACTAGAAGTCTCCATGAGACTTCTACTGTGGTGAAAAGGGAGCTGAGCTGCAAGGCGGAGCTGTCAGTCTACGGCTGCAGAAGATGTCTGGGCCTCCCTGCTCACGCTGTTCCCCCACAACACAACTCAGAAACAAGAGGCAGATAACGGATCGATGCAAGTCTCCATGAACAATCAACCAAACAAGTGATTACCTCTACAATTTTCTCTGGTATATTGAGCACAGTGAAACCATAGAGCCTCCTATGAGCCTGGAAGACATGGGACAGGATCCTCCTGTCCAGCTGGTAGGCAATCTCCCCCAGCAGTCTTGGTTGAGCTGCAAATAAATGATGAAAATTAACACATAAAAAAGAAAAAGCACTGGCAGCATGATTGTTCGCTTATAAAATTTGTTGTGTTTGTGACACCTGCACCACAAAGTGGGGTATCAGCCCGGCTGTTCTGAAGCTCTGCTGCCTCGTCGGTGTCTCTGTGTGCAGAGCTTTGCACGGGAGACGATGTTCGATGCTCAAACCTGGATCTGGTCTGCTGCAGCTCTCTCTTGAACTGTCGCTCGTCGAAAGTGTGCTGCCACAGACTGCAGGCTGAGCAGACTGGAAACAAACGGTTCTTGTTAATTATCAGTAATGTATCAGTTTAAAACCCAGAGTCACTGTTTTACAAAAACAGACACAAACGTGAGGTCTGACCATGCCTCCCATAGTTTATGATGGCAGTGCTGCAGTGATTCTGCAAGGACGTTTCAGAAACTTCCAAAAAACTAACAGTACTTCAATTTCACTAATACTTGTTTGATAAAGCATGAATATAATGAGAAACAGCATTTAGATGCATTTAGCATTTATTGGTTCTAGAATAGCGCTGCTGAAGGTGGCTGCATGTTGGAGCAGCTCTGTTACTTTCATTCTGAGATTTTGCTTTTGGAAACTAATTCCTCTTTTTCAGATGTAAATCACAATTTTTGGGATGATTGTTTCCTCTGGTATCAGATGCTGTGCAGCTGGAAGGATTTTTACTGAAACTTTTTTAGTTTTGGACATTTGTTATGATGCGTAACCATGGCAACAAGGCAGTTTTCTACAACCAGCAGCTGATTAACATCTCAAAAGCTCAAATAATATCTCAAATACAGCCCCAAATCTCAGATGAGTTGAAAAGGATGTTCTGTGGATGCATTTTCATCTACCTGCCAGCTGTGCTCGAGTGCCTGACCACTGAGATCCTGGAACTAGAAGGAAACATGACTCATGACAGTGGAAGGACAGGATCATCCCTTGGCACCTACAGTTGGCTATCTGCAGCGACGAGGAGCTCGGCAGACTGTTGGGAGGAGTGACCATCGCTCTGGGAGGAGTTCTGTCTGGCATTCTGGTGGTTCTACAGCCCGAGGGGAACCGAGAGTCCAGCAGAGTCTGGGTGGACGGATCGGACAGCATCTGCAGCCAGTTTCTTAGGATCCACTGTGGGATGGACCTTTACAAGAGATCCTTCCTGTCTACAGCCATCACTATCTATAACATCTCTTAATGAAATAAGGATAATGAGTTACTACAACAAATAATTTCCCTCTGGGATTAATAAAGTATTTTTGAATTGAATTGAATTCATTTAAATTACAATCCACCCATCATCTTTACTCGCTTCTTCCTTTTCGGGCTGCGAGGGTCACCAGTGCCTATATCCAGCAGTCACTGTGCGAGAGGCGGGGGACACCCTGGACAGGTCTCCAGTCCATCATAGGGACAGAGACAAACAACCATTCACTCTTTCACTCACACCTAGAGACAATTTAGAGTTACCAATCAGTCTAACATGCATGTTTTTGGTCTGTGGGAGGAAACTGGAGTACCCAGAGAAAATCCATGCCTCACGGAGAGAACATGCAAACTCCACCCAGAAAGACCCCTGGCTGGGATTTGAACCGGCAACTTTCCTGCTGCGAGGCAACAGCTCTATCATCTGCGCCACCGTTCCACCCATTAAAATGACTATTTCTACACAACCCCAACCTGTTCTGCCTTCCTTCTGTTCTTAATGATCTTGCGACACGCTGTGCAACCAGTTGATTTAAAGAACAACAGATTTAATGAAAGTATATAAATGATTGAATAAATAAAATAATGTTCATGAAACCTAGATGAAGAAAATGTATAAAACACCACAAAATACCGTAGCTGTGGAAATCTTGTGATGGCGTTTTCAAAATGGGATTTACTAACCGTGCGATGCTCATTTTCTACGTTGCATTTTATTCACGACAGATTATTTTTATAAATTATGTGAACTGAAGAACTTTTGAGTTCCCACGATTTAACACATCAACAGGGTTACAGATCTGCGTAAAGTTCTTATAAGAGGATAATGTGTCATAGGTTTAAACGCGAGTCATTATTAAGTCCCAACACGATGCTTAAAACTTTAATTAGTACTAGTTTGAGTCTTATTTCCTCCTAAAGTCAGAGATCATGGTTGCTAGGAAACAGCCTGGGTCAGTTTTTTTTTAATTTAGCTGTTAAATAACACAAAAACTTTACATTTGATATTTGTACAATACGTTGCACCATAAGTCACATTAAAAGTTATTGATCAAATGAGCAGACTGTCCCAGTGAATTAAAATAAACCAGTTCTTCAGTGGCTGCCTCCTACTGGTGAATGGATACAGTACCTGTGAAATCACCCAGGGTGTTGCGGCTCAGCCCGGCTCTCAGGTCCACGTTCTCTTTCAGCAGACTGGCCCTCGACTTCAGCTGATCGTTTTCCTGCACCAGCTGAAGGTTTTGGACCTGTAAAGCCGCGACAGACGCTTCTATGTTCATCCTGAGGCTTCCGGTTAGCGGTTACACAGCTGAGTCTCCAAAAACACCCGGCACGCTCTGAACACAGACAGGATTAAAAACTGAATCTAAACAAAACTGTGTTCAGTTGATGGAATGTTTGTTTTATTTTTTAAAGTCATACAAAGAACCAGACATCAGGTTTGGAGAAAAACAAATTATCAAAGCATGAAAACAACAAAGTGGAAAAATATTAAAATAGTACTCTGACAGAAAAAGAGGAAACTAAACACCGGGATCACTTTTCATTTTTTTAAAGCGTTTTAACGGTGAATAAAGTTTAAAGACTCAGATGCTGCGTCTTAATCCACTACTCTTTCTTTAGCCCTTCTGATTTTCCCTTTTGCTTTTTTTGTCCTTATGAAATATTTTAAGGATGCACAATATTGGATTTTTGACCGATATCCGTTACGCCGATATGTTAAAACTTGTTTGGCTGATAAGTGATACCAATACCCATATTCATTTTCATAGACCTGCTTACAGAGACTAGTTTTTAGACATCGCTTTCTCTCCTGTGGTATAAAAAAAAAACGGTACTACATTCTTCTGCATGGTGTTTGTCAATTTGGCCTGCTACTAAATGCACATGCCAAAAAGGGGCTGAAAACTTCAAATTGAATTATGTTTAGAGTCAATTTTTTAAATGACATTTACTCTTTCTGACACAGACACTTGGAACATTGCAAATTTGTGAATTTTCACAACTCTACACTCAACGGTGTGTGTGATGTCATAACATCCTAGCACTGGGTTGTCATACAAAAACAGTGCCATACACACACACACACTTAATATATATATAAATATATATATATTAATATATATATATATATATATATATATATATATATATATATATATATATACAGCACCTTTTTATATTGGTGAGTTATTTTGATGGAATATCCGATTTTTAACTTTATCACTAACATCGACCGACACCATGCCGATATCGTGCGTCCCTAAAATATTTAAATATAGAATGTATAAATCAGTCCCAGGCTCACTTTACAATTTGATTTTCCAGAGTTGTCTCGTCTCAATCAAGCAGTCTATAACCACAGCAGAAGTCACCTCAGACGGATCTCACATGTGCAGTGTGCATGTCAACATCCATGCACATCACACAAAACTGACCTATTGAACTAAAAGGCTCAGAAAAAAGGGGGCAAGTGTACCAAACACTGGCACAGATTTTAAGTTCTCTTCAGTTTCTTTGTACAGCATAAGATATAACTTCAGTTACCAAAATATATTCTTATTACAAGAGGTTGAACAAAATCACAACCTAAAGCAGCTACTAATGGCATCATTTCAAAATAAAAGCTTACATGAGATGAGGCAAAAGCAACCTTGAATCATTTGAAGATGAAAACAGCAAACGAAGCGAATCAGAAACAAACAGAAATGAAACGCCGGTCTCGCCACTCAGCCTCTCGCTCGGCCGATGATGGCCAGGATGTAGAGGAAGATGTTAATGATGTCCGTGTAGAGGTTCAGAGCTGCGAACACGTACTCCTCTGGACTCAGAGCCAGCTCCTTGTTGCCGAGCAGCATCTGTGTGTCCACAGCCAGGAACTGCAACAAACATCCACAACAGGTCAGACACTTTCTGTTCACTGCACCTTTTCCCCCCCCTTCAACCTTTATTTAGACAGGTTAATCCCACTGAGCCTCGAGGACTCATTTACAAGAGAGACCTGATTTCAACAAAGAGTGATGACATGGATGACAGCTTTCACGCTGCAATAAACAAAAGTGTTTCACACAACAGCTTTTTTTGTATAAATCACTTTGAAAAAGTATCCACATCATATGGCTTTATGATAACTCATGGTGATTGTGAATAATGAATCTAAACAACTATTAGAGTTCTTATGCCAAAAGGTTAATTGGACAAAACCTATTATACATGTATTTCTTAGTGGATGACAAAAGTTGTGGAAAGTATTGTATGGCAAGCATTGCACAATCTATTCTAAAAATGTATACAGATTTCACCAGAAGGGGAAAAACATAAGGGTTAGTAACTGAAGATGAAAATTAAAGGAAAAAAGTTGGATAAATTTGATACATGATCAGATTTGTTGTTGCTCGTCAGATCACAGGGATGCTACTTAATCAGCTTTTCATAAATATCTGAAGGTCTCATTGGCTGCGGCGATGAACAACTGGCGTTAATTCATACTGATGAGCTTAGAATTTGACTTTAGTTTTAAACAGTATGTTTTTGATCATTAATGGCAGACACGTTATTACTTACTAATACTATTATTACTAACTAAATTTAAAGAAATACTTCTAAAACAATGGTTCTCAAACTGGGGTCACGAGCCAGTGCTTCGGGGTCCACACACAAAAAAATATTTAAATTAATAATAATAAAAAAAATAAAATAAAAAAAAATATATATATATTTTTTTTTTTTCAAAACAATTCTATTTCAAATCAGTTTATTTCTATAGCACCAAGTCACAACAGAAGTCATCTCAGGGCACTGAACAGAAACATTCATATATATCAAAATAAGTTAATAACATTATTTATCTACAAGCACATATTTAACAACACACCAAATACACCAAAACGCAGGAAATCACATCTACTTAAGTCTACATGTTCTGGGGGAAGTCTACTGCTTCATCATATATTGTAGGAGACTGTTATGTCACTTCTGGTAGTATTTTCTCAATCCTAGAGAAGGATTTTTTCTTTAGTAGCAGATTTCTGAAATTAAATCTGTAAAATGCAAGTTTCACATTTCAGTCTCGACCAGGGTTGGTACTGAACGCAGCGGATCAGAAATTAAACAATCTGTAGGCCCACGCAGTTCAGTCTGTTTGAAGAAAGCTTCCTGTTTTTATACGAGGAACGTCTTTACACCACATCCAGGTTCTGATGTCTTAACGGAAGCTGCAGCCTCAGAAACTGAAAGTGACAAATAAAAGCTTTTGTTCCACCTCTGAACTCACAGCAGGTGCGACCCAGTGCACGAAGACATCCCATCCACACCCATTGCTAAATTGACATCAAAATCTGGATGAAGCACAATTTTCTCAAATTACACACTGACAAAACTGACATACTCCTCGTTGGTCCACATAGTGATACCAAGTCCACTCAAAACTTCTGCCTCAACTTTGACATCACTCTCACTCCATCACCACTCATTCGTATTCTTGGTATTCTCCTCAACTCCACTCTTTCACTCGAATCACACGTCTATAACTCGGACTGCATTCTTCCATCTTAAAAGCATAGCATGACTCCGCCCATCACTCGCTCCACTGCTGACTTCCTAATCCATGCCTCTGTCACATCAAGAATTAACTATTGCAACAGCATTGTGTACGGTACAGCATCTAAGACTCTCAACAAACTGCAATATATTCAAAATTCTGCTGCGCGCCTTCTCACCCACACCCACTCCCGTGAACATATCACTCCTGTCCTGCAGAAACTCCGTTGGCTCCCCATCACTCAGCGCATCCATTTCAAGATGTTCCTCATCACATTCAAAGCCCTCCATAATCTGACCGACCTGCTCCATCACTACACTCCTTCTCTTTCCCTCCGCTCCCCCGATGCCAACCTTCTGTCTCTCCCCTGTAGGACCAAACCTGGGGAGACAAGAGCCTTCTCCATCGCTGCCCCCACCCTCTGAAACCCACTGCCCCAACCGCTTCATGCCTGCTCCGATCTCCCCACTTTTAAGAACGAACTAAAAAAAACACCTGTTTAAAATTGCTTTTAATGTTTAAATGTGCCCTTTTTAAAGTTTTACTGTTTTTATGTGTTATGCATTGTTGATTTTATATATATATATATATATATATATATATATATATATATATATATATTATATATATATATATATATATTGACTCATGTAAAGCATCTTTGAGTACTTAGAAAAGTGCTATACAAATAAAATGTATTATTATTATTTAAAGTACAGACGAGATGTTTGATTAGGAGAACGCAGAAGTAGATCGATGCTCCGCTTGCATGAAAACCACATTTTTCCTTTTTGGGCAACTCTTTCCCTTCATGGGTTAGATTACGTAGAAGAACCTGGAGAGTATGTCCACTTTACATCCGTTTCGTTTTAACAGCTACCAAGAACCTTTTCTCTCCCAAAGAAGACATTTGTTTTCAGATACATTCAAGATCAGCATTACGTCTGAAGCTCATTTCCAGAATTTCCCGTCCTTCCCTCTGAATTTAAGTGTTTCCACAACCTCTGCCCTCAGTTTTTTACAGCAATTTTTATAGATTTTGCTGAACATACTCGAGTGAACTTCTCTTTTTAAAAAGGCATATTTTCCTCTGTGCAGCCAAATCTTGCTTTATATGAAGTTAGTTTTTATTGTAATTGTATTTGGTCAGTTTGTTGCAAAATGAATTTGATTAAAGTTCAAATAAAATCCTGAATAATAATATAAATAATACCTGAACAATGCCTCTTAATCCATGCCAGTCTTTTTAAATTTGTATACGAGCTTCAGAGATTGTAAATTACAAACTGATATAAATTGGTACTAAGAGGCATTTTACTCACAACCTTTTTTTCTTGTATAAAATCCCAAACTATACGACAAACTGCTTGTATGAACACTTACACAAGTGAAGAGTAATGCTCCCAGTCCAGCATACACAATCTGCATAATGATGTTCTGGAAGATCATGCAGAGGATGCCGAAGACGAACAGGACAATCAAGCTAACGAACAGCACGCCGTAACAAGACGTGAAGTCGTATTTGGTCTGTGGGAGAGGAGAGGAGAGCGGTGACGTCATGTTCAGTTGTAAAGTATAAACACACAGGAAACTGGATGCCACACAACAAACCTGCATGGAGAAGATGACCACCGTGAAACACACAACTGCTGTGATTCCCACTGCCATGATGACTGACTCGGTATCATGGAAGCTGGCGATCACTCCCACCATGTAGGACATGCTGAGAGTCAGAATGGACTGAAACGAGAGAGAAGAGCGCAGATGATCAGGACTGCTGCACACATCTGTACAGAGTCAAAGTATAGGACCAGAACAGGGTGTGTGTGAAGAGTAATCTAGGTTTTGGAGCAACAAAACAGTCTAAACTTCCATTTTACCACCAAGTTTCTTATTAAGCGAAGTCTTACCAAAGCCACCAGGTTCCAGGGGTGTCTGCGACGAACATTTCCGCAGCAGCCGATGACGCAGACTGACACGAAAAACACAGCGTAGGACAAAAGGTACGTCCAGAGGTTCTTCGCGACGAATCTCTTGACTTCCTCCACGAAGGTGAAAACGGCCACAAACCCAAACGTCACCAGCAGCTGAGCAGTCAACACCAAGTAAACCTGGGAGAAGAGCAAAGGGAAACAATAGGCAGCAGACACGTGGCGACTGGTCAAGATTTATTTGTGATTCTCAAGTTGTCGCATGTGGGTCGTCTTTGGAGCACATCAGGAGACACGAGCTAGTGAAGTCAAAGGCATTATGAACTATAACTCCACTCAAAACAGAGAGGTGAAGATGGAAGTCTGTCCAGCGATCTGTGGCAAACTTCACAAACCTGACGACTTTTAATGTCTTATAACTCATCTCTTAATTTTTAATATAGCCCAAAGTGCATAAAGGTGAACAAGTCATCTTCTGAGGCTATAAAAAAGGGCCCTATAAGGATCACAATTTGATTATTAGGTCTGCCTTCTACAGGACTACATCCTTGTTCCAGTCTACAACAGAGCTCTGAGACTCACTTCAAACCTTGAAACTCATCCCTGTACGTTCTATCTGTATGCTGGAGGGTCATTTTGATCCTTTTGTGGTCTGAAACAGTTTCTTTTTGTTTTGCTTATAACGCTATTCTAGCCCTCTCCTTTAATTCTTGTAAAAATGTAAACAAAACTGCACATTGTGTTTATTATAATGCAATAATATAACTGAATAATGCAGCCGACTACAAAAGTCCTTTTTTTAACGGTGGAAATTTGCAACAACAACATTTATCTTGTGGCTTTCTGAGCTGCGACATTGGACTGTTTCTTTTTTTTAATCGCTCCGTTAGCCAGAATCCTCTTACCTTTCGTATGAAGGCTCTTCGTATGCTCTTGTTGTCCAATCCAAAATCAAAGTCTTCGTTGTCGGGAAAGGGTGGAGGAGCCTCCTCGTTGTGGAAAACATCACCTGAAGAGACAACCACACAGATCAAACTGATGTATCTACACTACCAACATATTTTTGTTTCACTATTTTTACCTCTATTTAGGGGTTGAGGGTTGACCCCCCCCCCCCAACCCCCCCCTCCCCCAACAGAGGTATAACAAAGGCAGGTTGGGGAAGCTGAATTTATATATTCCATATTATTTGTTATATATTTTAAACTTTATTTAAACACAGGTGAAGCTGTTATGATTTCAGATCCCCCTAAAGTGGATTAACTCACTGCTGTTACAAGAACCTCCCCCACCATCGTCTATTATTATCTGAACCTCCTGACCCAAGTTCCTGTTTAGAGACATGAATATTAGCTGCAAAGTAAACTGGTCCAAAGCAGTGAGTAAATATTGTAATTAATGCACTTTTTTTCTTTGGAATCAGATTGTGCACTGTGTCAATCAAAGTTAGCCCTGGTATCTTTTACATTAACTAATATTAACACCAATTAGACTCTACAATTCATATTGGCTTTGTAGAGGTGTAATAGTGTGTGTGTATGAGGGAACAGATTGTGTTTTAAAGTACTGAGTAGCCTGGTTGGCAAGGCACAATAAGTACAGTGCACATAATTTGATTATTACAGACATTACATGAACTGGTGGGCTGCATGCCATTTATTGCAATAAACATCTATAGTAGAGATGGCATACACAATAAAACTGCTAAGAGATAAATTTACATGTGATGGGTCTGCCATCATGTCTGTGTAACTCACGCTGCTTACCACTGTAGTTGTCAACAAAGCCAGGGGCTGGTGGGGAATATGGGGGGGCAGGATTGGCAGGGTAATTAGGGTTGTCAAAGCCCTCCAAGCCTCCTCTTTGTGGGTTTGGGGCCAGTCCATAAGGTCCAGAGACAACAGGCGGCTGTGCGAAGGCCGTCGGCCCCGTTGTTGTGGCCCCGCCGTGCATCTGCGGGCCTCTCACGCTCGTGCCAGACGTTACAGGAAACGTGGGATGATCGAAGGCAGGAGGCCGGGAGTCTCCCATCTGCACCGAGTAATCGGTCTTCTCGGCGCTCAACCTGACAGCCTCGGAGTGGGAGGAGAGTCCGTCACGAGCGGAGGAAAACTAGAGTCAGAAACATAAAAGTTAAAGGAAAAAAACGATTATTATGAAGATTAAACAGCAAAGATCCGATAATGGCGGTGGTTAAAGCGACATCAATAGTCACGTGACAATGCTAACTTCCGGTGGATGTTAGCATTGTTAAGCAGCGATCTTTTTTTAATAAAAAAAAAAAAAAAAAACATTACCCGTGGTATACATTAACATTATAGACATGACACTAAAGCTATCAGTACTTTGAAGCAAATCACAGTGGTTAGTGTTGTCATGTTTTAACCAAATATTTAAATTTACTCGAATTAAGAGACTGCCGACACAGCGTTTAACTTCCTGAAGAATACACAAAATTAAATAAATCCAGCTGAAATAATCCTCTCTTAGTTGTTTGCAGTTAAAATAATGTCGATTTTTTAGGTGGTTTTTTTTTTACGTCGAATGAAATTTCACTTGTGTTAGCCTACGGAAGGAGCTGATTAAAAAGTTATACTAACAACTTAAGGTACATTTATTATCTGCAATAAAATAGTAAATCCAAGCTGCCCACCTCAGAGATGTTCGGTACACTTCTTTTGCAGGTGATTTAATGTTTAAGGAGATTAAACTTTGTTAAAACTACAGTTTATGGAAACCCAACCACTGATGGTCTCTGCCTAAAGCGGAAGCTGCGTTAAGGTTCACGTAAAAAGATGGAAAATCGAACATCTGCAGCACAAACTTGAAACAATCCTTGAATATTTAATTCTGTTCGATCCATGACGGTGTGAAATTAATTTGTGGAGTAAGTTACAATACAGCGTGTTAAAAAATATCGAGACAATTCCGCAAATTAGGTTCAAATACATTTAAAATATTTTTTTAGCATGACTGTTTTTCCCTAATTTCGTAAACAAAATCTATTATTAGTAAATACATAGTCAACTTAGTACTTTATAGTTTTAACTGTAGCAATGTAATAAATTAACAAAAAACACGAAAACATTTGTACTTCCTTTAAATGTGTTAAAAATTAGGATTGCGTTTTGGTAGCTTGAATGCACCATTACGCTCCATTGTGGTAACTATAAACTTTCTGGTGTTTGACCAGAGAAATGGAGAAATGAGGGAAACCGAAAGTGAAGCGTTGTCAAAAGTCATTGTTTTACACCAAACACGGAGCTCAGGGTAGTTTAGATATAAAATGGACGGGAACTATTAACTCACACAAACCAGCAGGTGTCAGGAGGATACAACATACTGAAATAAACCATATTTAAATGTTGAGAAACATTTGTTTTATTGAACCAAACAGCAGGCCCTCTTCTGTTAAAGCACAATGGTGGTGGGTATATGGTTTGGGTCTGTCTGTTTTAAGTTTTTAAAGTTAAATATGAGGCCTTCTGTCAAACAGCCTTGTCCACGACAGGAAATTGTGTGATTGGATCGTATGAACTTCATGAAGAAACGTTGGCACAAAATTCCTGCACAAAGCTAAACGCTGATAGATGGAAGGTGATCTGTGCCTTTGGCTGCAGCTCATGGCACCATACACTTGACCCTCTACGGCCCCTATTGCAGATGTTGGCCCCAGGAAGGCGAACCCATGTAGGTCGTTCAGGCTGAGCCCAACTGGGCCCCATGTGTGAAAGCCCAGTCACCAGGCACTTGTCAACAAGCCCTTCCCCTAGGTAGGAGTGTAGATGTGGCTGCCCTCTCCTCTCAAGCTGCTGCCCCTGCAACCGACTGCAGAACAAGTGGAGCTAATGTTCTGTTTCCACACACTACCTGTGCAGATCGGTGTAGTTTATTAAATGAGACACTGTAGGTCATGTGTTGATCTGGAGTTTCATTTACCAGATTTTGGGCTTGTGGACCAGATGTTTTATGTCTTAGCTGCTAGATGACTTTAAAATTAAAGGCAGAAATATCTACACGTACGTCCACTGTGTGGAAACACTATTTTGCTTCAGCTGTTCACCTGACTGGAACAGCAAGCCTCCTGCCACGTTTGTATCAAACAGATTTAAAACTGTGAAAAGCGTTAACATTACAGAGCACGGTCAAAAAAAAAAAAAAAAAGCTGAAGACATTTTTCTGTTTATTTCCCAAATTACATTGTTCGGAATCATGCAGTACAGGATAAAACTTTTATTGTCAAAAAGACATAAAATGTGAGACATTTTTAAAAAGTTAGAAACCCACACAAGCACAGTCCGTTATCAAACTGGTTCAAGTATAAAAGAGATGTTTTAAGAGTTACAAACCTTAGAGACAACACGAGAACGACAAATAGAAACAGCTTTGAACACCTTGCCACTGGTTTGTTCTGTGCAGGTAAACCCCAACACACGCTATGGATCGTAGAAAATGTAGCCGCAAACGTGGAGATGCTCGACTTTGATACCCGATTAAAAGGTTTATTGCTCTAAGGCTCCAAAATAAATACATAAATAGCATAATTTAAAAGGCACACAAAGATTTTTATCAAAATGAACAGTTCACGTTCAACAGCATTTCTTCTCATTTGCTTAGCCTGTAATGTAATGCAGAAGGAAGACAACAAAATGAGTTTTACCAGCTTCAGCTGTGTTTTCATCAAGAAAAAACACGTTCAAAGAAAAACACATCAGGACAACTAATCTATTTCACTCCAAATGCTTCTAAAACAACAACAACCCTAAAACCTCTTCCCATCCAGTGTGTGCAACTTTAGCTAACAAAGTAATGGTCCAAAACTATGAAATACTGGATAACAACACAGCTCTCGTGTGTGAAAGTGTTTTTTTTTTTTTCAAAGTGTAAAAGAAACCTGATCATAAGACATAAATGCACTTCGGATTTTCATGTAAATTCCTCTTTGTGAAATTTAGCAACAGTTCATCTGAGATCCAGTGAGTTTTGTTCAATTATCAAATACTGTAACGCTAAATAAATATTAAATATTCATATACATCCAATACTGATCTCACTCAAATAAAATGCAGTAATTCCTCATTTGACTCAGTTTTTTCTTCTTCAGGCTCTTTGGTAGGTTTACTTGGTGTCCACCCTTTAACTTTGAAGGGACAGTTCAAATCTTTTGAACTGGGGTTCTGTGGAAAGGCTGGAAACAATCAATATCTTACCTGCTGTCGATAGCTTTTTGAATCTCAGTTTGGAGAAAAGGAGTTTAACTCTGACCAGATTAACAAGCCAATTGGGCCAAAAAGCTAAATTTCTACCTACCATCTTGACACAGCTCCAATCAACTATTTTATCGCAGTTCTTGAAATACAGTTTGATTTAAAATATCAGTTTCAAAACCTTCTCACAGAACTGCATTTGAAAAGCTCTGAACTGTTCCTTAAACGCTGAAGGAGTGAACCTCCTTCGGGCACTCCTCATGGTTTTTACATGCGATCAGTCTGCAGCTGCTGAGGCTGATATTGGCTGAAGGCGGCAGCTGCAGCTGCAGCTCCTGGAGTGGCCGCGGCGGCGAGCGGCTGCTGGACGGCGTATCCGTACCCTGCAGTGGTCATGTAGCTCGTAGGCGCTGGCGAGGCCGCGTACGGATACTGCTCGTAAGCAGCGGCGGCGGCGGCAGCAGCAGAGTACTGGGCATACGCAGCGCCGGTGTAGTCGAGGTACGGGGACGTTGCAGCAGCAGCTGCAGCTGTTGCTGTAGCAGCAGAGGGCTGCACATGAGGGATCACCACGCTGGGTTGAACAAAGGCCTGAGGATAGACATAGTGGGCCGGGATCCTGCAGGATAAAAAAAGACACAGGTTCAGAGCACAGCCACAGTCGGTCATCTTTCCAACGTTGAAGCTAAAACTCCGGAAAACCGAAAAGCAGGTGCCAAATATGTCAATCCAGTCCTCAGAGCACAGCAAATCCATTCATTAAAAACTGAAAAACCCTACCTAGAAATGGAAAGTTAAAAAGCAGCAAAACCACAAAAGAAACAAGTGCAGCTTTTTTTTTTTTTGGGGTGGGGGGTGGGGGGTGGGGGGTGGAGCACCTGAATGTGAAACATAAAAAGGAAGACACAGCCAAGCTCTGCACCACTGAAAACCATATTTGACAAAATGCCGACTTTTCACAAAACACCACATCAGTTCAAGGAGTGGACGTTATTCTGCCCACTGGCCGGCACACTAACATCACACATATACAGGCATGCCCACACGGGTTAATGGGTTCCTTATTACAAACATTTTGGGCAAAAAAAGCTGCATCAGTTTCAATATCTTATCAAGTGGGGGCTTAGATGAATCACTTTTCTTGAAAATACCAAGCGTGTTAATTAACAATAATATGAAACGTGTTAAATGTAAACAAAAACTGAGCTCATTGATTTGTTTTATCTCAAAAACACATTTTATTCACAATGGAACCCAGTGATGCCCCAAAATTGTATCATTTTCTGAAGAAATAAAGTAAATTTGGAATTTGATGGCAGCAACCCGTGTCAAAAGAGAGGCCGTGTTCCTCCTCTTCTGAGACCTGCAGAGAGCAGCTGCTGCAGTTTCTGGAGGGGACTCTTGTCCCGTTCTTGTCTGATGTTAACCGCTCTGGGTCGTCTGTGCTGGGGTTTCTGCAGGATTGGAGCCCATGTTGTTCTAAAACCTGTATGTACATTGTTGCACTGGCGTCGTTCCAGTGGCGTAGTCTATGTAGGCCTGTCACGATAACACATTTTGCTGGGCGATTGTCTCAGAAATTATTGCAATAAACGATAACATTGTTTGAAATTGGACAATAATTAGTAATTATTGTCAAATTTAAGAAGAAATGTTGGTTAATTTTTGTGTGTAGTGGCTTTTTTTTTGGTGACTAGATGGCAGTATGACTGTTTGAACCGAAGGATGGATAGTGAGGGAGCGAGCAGCGTGTCTCTTGAAGAAAAACGAGAGTTAAAATGGATTTAAAAGAGAAAAGATAAAGGGAGGGGTCAGTGGAGTTGAGCTTTTTGTCATCCAGTGTCTTCAGTAGAAAGAGAGAGACACGAAGAAACGATAAAGCCGATAAATTAAAATGAGGTTGATCATTTTCATTTATCATGTGATTAATTGATTTAATGTTTGTTGCGACAGGCCTAAGTCTATGTGATACGCGGGCATACAGAGTATACCCACCAGAAAAGCTTGAGAATGTCAGTATAACCACTTAAAAGTGCCCAATGACACATGACACATCATTAGGCACGTGTCACTGATATGTTAAGTGGCAGTTAAATGCTTCTGCAACAATCTGTCTCTATTCAGCGCCTGTTTATTACATTCACTTATGCAGCGAATTATTGTATAATTAATACTTCTGTACTTACTTAATACTTGAACATGTTTTGCTTTGATACGGTTTTATAAATTCTATAACGTTTTTGATACAAAACCAACTGTTGTACAGTTTGTTGTACATTTATTCAAATATAAGCATCAGAGAAAATTGGAAATGTTCAATATGCTTAAAAATCAAAATAAATTGACGATTACATTGTACTAACTGGGGCACTTTGGTTTCCAAGCACAGTACGCCCACTACAAGAATGTAGACTACACCACTGTCGTTCCAAATGTGTAAGCTGCCCATACCATAGACACTAATACACCCCCATACCATCAGAGAGGCAGGCTTTTGTTCCTCTCATTTTTAGTAAAAAAAAAGGATGTGGCATCTGTGGTTTGAAAATGAAATGAAATTTACAGAACAGTGTCATTTAGCCTCAGTCCGTCTTAAATGAGCTTTGGCTCAGATGAGACTGATTCTGGGTGGGGTTCACAAAGGGCTTCCTCCTCGCATGAGGCAGCATTTCTGGAAGACACGGTGAGCTGTGCTTACAGACAATGGTTTGTGAAGTGTTCCTGAGCCCATGTAGTGATGTCCAGAACAGAATCAGGACCTGTTCTTTGAATGCAACACTGTCTGAAGGCCTTCAATTATTCCAGTCTTGTCCTCTGAGCTCTGAGATTTCTGCAGGTTATTTTGATATCATGCAGGTTATTTTGATATCATGAACCGTGGGTGATGAAATATTCAAAGACAATTTTCAGTTGAGGAACTTTCTTCTGAAATCGTTTCACTATTTTTCAACATTGTTTTGCAGACTGCTGAACCTCTGCCCATCTTTACTTCTTAGGGATTCAGCCTCTTCCCGACCTGTAGTTAATTATCCTGTTTAGCAGCCATACGCTCCTCCAGCTGTTTATTTGTACCGCTTGCACTTTGTTGACCCCTGTCCCATATTTTATTCGAGGTGTTGCAGCCATCATGTTCTAAAATACCTTATTTTTATCAAACGATATTGAAACTTTTCTTAGTAAACAAATCAGGCATTGGAACTACGCTCCACTATAAATCATATGTGGGTTTATGAGATTGGCAAATCAGTGGATTGTTTTTATTAACATTTTATGCAACGTCCCAATTTTTTTTAGGGAATTGGGAGTTATGAATCAATTTAATTTCAGTATCACGTGTGATTAGATGAGATTTTTTTATTTTATTTACATAAACCAAGTGTGTTTAGCAAGTCATAAAAAGATATTCACTGAATTATTTCCAGTTAATAAGAAAAGAAGGAGTTCCACCTGAAGAGGGTGTACAGACCTCTGTATCTGGGGAAACTTGTCCCCATTTCAAACTTGTGCAGAAGTCACCCCCCCCCCCCCCCCCCCCCCCCAGTAAAAATACTGAGCAGCAGGTGTGAATTATATTTGTCCACAGACAAGTTGCCCCTTTCCCATTACAGACCCCCTCACACACACACACACACCTCGTCAACTTGACTGACAAGAGAGGCTGGACGCTATTTTTGCCCCTCTTGTCATCTCCAAAGGACACGCTGATCTCCTGCTCCAGTGCACGTGGCAGAGTGCACGACAACTGCCTGCTGCACTACTGTTTCACTCCCGCTCCTGAAATTTTAATGACGGGGCTGGAGGAGTCCCAGCTGCTTCAAAAGAAGCAGGATCCTCCGAAGAGTCGACACACTCGCGCTAATGTTACGCTGCATGTTTCTGGACGTCCACGTCTGTAATCTTAAACGTGACGAGGTAAAAGTTGCGGTGCAGCACGTGGAAACTTCTACAGCGGCGTCTCAACTCTGGCGACAGACAAAAGTTTTGTCGTCTGAAAAGTTTGGAGATAAGCTGGCAGAGCACAGGGGTGATCCGCGGCACAGAACCAAAAGCCTTGACGGGCGCATGGCTCGGCCCACCTGTTGTCAGGTCCATGCATTATTCACAGCGCCGCAGAGTGACTCCTTTTTTCCAGCTGAATTTGAGAAGCTTCTCTGTGGCCAGCAGCTGCTGGGCTGGGGTCTGTCTCCAGCCTGAAGCCGCGAGCGTTTGAGTCCGTCCCTAAACTCAAACTGAATGTATCTGAAGTTATTTAAAACCATTAAAATTTATCAACATGACCGGTTTGCTTTAGAACTAAAAGTCTCATTCCCAAGTCATATTGTTGTGTTAAATGACGCCTCTGAACCGGTGGGAAAACAAAAACGTGTCCATTCTTTCATGAGAAGGGAAATGAAAAATTGGCCTGTGTAGGAATGAAAGCAACAGGTTAATATAGAAAACAACACAGCATCGTGGTGAAACAACAAAAATAAATCATTAGGGATGCACGATATTATCAACATGGTATCGGTATATATTAGCGATAAAGTTAAATATCGGACATTTCATTAAAATAACTCAATGATATAAAAGGCGCTGCTTATATATATATATATATATATATATATATATATATATATATATATTTTTTTTTTTTCCTTAGTTCATATCTTAGATCTTATTACTGTTTTTTTTGTTTTTACATTTTATTGTTGGATGTAACTGGGATACTGTGTACATAATCTCATTCCACCACATGTACCAGATGAGAATGACAAATAAATCTCTCTGGCTCTGGCATATATAATATAATATAATATAATATAATATAATATAATATAATATAATATAATATAATATAATATAATATAATATAATATAATATAATATAGATATGTATGTATGTCATATTTTTGTATGACAACCTAGTGACGAGGACACCTGCAGCACCAGCACGTTATGACATCATGTGCGTCGTTGAGTTTAGATTTGTGAAAATTTACAAATTTGCACTGTTCGAGTGTTGTCACTGTGTTAGAGAGAGTAAATGTCATGAACGAATTTGATATGAAACATAATCCAAGTTGAAGTGTTGCATCATTTTCAGCCCCCTTTATGGCATCTGTATTTAGTAGCAGGTGAAACTGACAAAGACCACACAGAATAATGTAGTAGTTTAATTCCACAGCAGAGAATTATAGTTTCTGTAAATAGGTCTAGGGGGAAAAAATATCGGTGTTGGTATCAGCCAAATAAGTTTTAACATATCGGCATATCGGCCAAAAATCCAATATCGTGCATCCTTAAAATAAATTAAAAATATAAAACTCCCGCATGCAAGCCAGAGTTTGTTTTGTTGCCAGGGATCGATATGGAAGTGAACGCACCATGAGTCATCATCAGCCCACCCCTTGGACAACAAAACCTTCAGTGGGGATAAAATTTAAAAAATAAAACACGCTAAAGCACAATGATTAAAAGTGAAAAGAATCAACACTCCATTGCAGAGTTATAACTCCCTGAAAACTGATCAAGTCTTGCCTCCCGCCCCCCAAAAAAACCCTTCAGTGCCCCCCCACTGCAAGTAGAAATAGGCACACAGTTAAGCTGAACACCACATCATACTGAAAATCAAGGCACACACCAGTCTACGGACTAAAGAAAACCATTAAAAACAGCAACAACCAAAGACTTCCATGCATCTAGTCACCATTGCGGCTCGTTTGCGTTTGTCACAGTTTACAGGTAACACTTTCTGCCCAATGCTGACTCAGCTATTCCTCAAACTGCCCCTTCATCAGCTATTTAAACCGTTACCGAGCCTGTCGGATCAGAGAGAGATAGATACACAGAACAGCGTGAGGTCAAGTCCTGCCGTGGCTCGGAGTGTGGGTGGGACAGACAGACGGACAGAGAGACAGGACGTCCTCGCAGTCAGCCGTCAAGCATCAGAGAGCACACTGTAACACTCACATGTCCTCATTCAGGGTGGACAAAATGGTGGAGGCAACAATAAAATGCAGGTTTAGGACAAAACAGAGTTTAAATGACTTGTTTCTATTTTTGTTCAAACAGATTTGATCACAGAGAGGAGAGTTTTTCAAACGTACCCGTACGGTCTTTGGATGAATGCTGGATGGATCTGAGGCACGCCGAATGCAAACCCTGGAACAAGAACAGACATTGTTAAAAATGAAGAGAGAAAAAAAGCTAAATGAAACGATGAGGTTTTCATCTTTTAAATATTTAAATTTTGAATTAAATCTTAAGAGTTGCTGCGGCAGGATAACTTGGCTGTGTGTGGATGCAGGCCTGGCAACTCGTCTTCCGCCTTCACACTCGTTTTCATGGTTTTTATTTTTCAGCAGGTTTTTTTCAGTTTACCTACTTCTAATACAGAGGTGGTTAGACTGAGCTGAACATTTTGTGCTAGTTTAGCCACTCCTATATCAAAATGTTCATCTCATTCAGGAAATGGGTGCTATGAAATGTTTTTGTTATAAACTTTATACATTTTAAAGTATTTAACTTTATTTACTCATCTTTTCCCCAGAAAAAAAACATTTAAATTTAAATCTTTTAGCAATTGTTCTGCTACTTTTAGCTTCTAGTGAGCCTTTTGCTACTTTTAGCTTCTAGAGAGCCTTTTGATACTTTTAGCTTCTAGTGA